GAGCGGAGGAAGGGTGGGTTGAGGCCTGTCGCGACCCGCCTCCTTCTCGCCCTTCTCCGGCCCAGGTGAGGATCGGGCCCTCAGCCGGTTGGGGTGGTGGTGGAGAGGGACGGAATGGATGGGGGGGCAGGAAGGCCGAGAGATTCAACGCCCCCCCCCTTTCCAAAGCAGGCAAACACACACACACCCTCCCCTCCCATCCGCCCCGCGTCCAGGAAGGGCGGCTTGGCCCTCCTTCTCCCCCCACCCAAGCGAGGTGGGCCTTTCAGGGGCCCCATAGAAGACGGGGGGGGCTTTCAGCCCCTTTGAGAGGGCAGGGTAGGGGGTTGGAGATCCTGATCCTCGCACAAACCCCTTTCCCCCCCCCTTCCCAGCTGGGGAGGTTGGAGCAAGGTAGACTGCGCTTTCCAGGGGAGGTTCTCCAGCCCCTCCACCGCAGGAGGTTGGAGGGCAACGAGGGGGGCCTTCACACGGACACGCGTCGGGCACGGGGAGGGGGAGTGTCTCTTCTTCTCCCCCCAACCCCCCTTCCTTGCACGGGGGGGAGGGTGAGGGCGACAGGGGCACACAGGGGGAGTGTCTCTTCTTCTCCCCCCCCAACCCCCCTTCCTTGCACGGGGAGGGAGGTGAGGGCGACAGGGGCACACAGACTTGGGGGTTGGTGAAAACACCACCGTGCCTCCTTGCACGAGGCGGTGGTGATGGTGCGGTCAAGGTGCTTCTGAGTTAGGGCAATCCCCCCCCCCAGGTGTGGGGTTCACAATTTGTGTGTGTGTTGAGTTGTGTAAGATGTTCAAGGGGTTGGCGTGTCCTTGGCGCACCCCACCCTGGTGAGAGGCCATGGCTGAGCAGAAATTGGAACCCAGGTCTTTCTGAGTCCTAGCTGGGCACCCTGCCTGTTGCATCCCAGGGGCCTGATGTGCTACAGTGCGCATTGCTGGGGAGGGGTGGGGGAGAAAAGAAAACATGCCACCTCCCAGCAAATCAGAAGGTGGGGAGCATGAGTTTTGGGGACCCCGAAGAGTACGGGCTGGACTGCAATACGTGGGATGGGGTGGCACACACACACTCAGGTGCTCCTTGGGTCCTGGTGGTGTTTTTTTTAGTCTTTGGGCTTCTTCCCCTCCCTCTACAATCGCTGCCGCCCAGGTAAGTGCGTATTCTAGGAGCCGAGGGAAACACTGGTCACGAAACACTGGTCACGTTTGCGCCCTCTTGCTTGATTTGCGTTGCTTCCTCTTCAGCTCCGGCCCAGTAGCTCGGGAAGTAAAAACCAGTTGGGCCAGACTGGGCGTGGGTGGGGAAGGTGGGTTCCACTTAAAGAGGCCACTGCTGAAAAACCCTTAAAATCAAAGACCCGTTTTGTCAGCCTCACTGAGGTAGCCGTCCGGTCTCGCCAAGGGAGCTGTGCTCGCCTGTTGCGCACTTCATGCGCTGCTTTTGAGGCTGGCGGATTGAAGGCGCACGGCTTCCTCAGTTGCACCTCCGTCCAGCTCAGATGCAAATGGAGGCAAGCCAGGTGCTGTTTAGATGCCTTTCGGTGCCCACCTGAGCCACGGGCTCACCTTGAGTGGATTTGGCTCCCTCCCTCTGGGGGAGACTTCCTGACTCAGAAGCCCTTGCAGGGTTTTTTTTATTTTAGGCCAGCTGTTTATATAGTTAATAAGGTGCTCTGCAGGAATCCGTGCTTAAGCAATTAGGCTTTGGATTACTGGGGATTCTGCGCTCGTTTCAAGCACCCAGAGATGGATGGGGTAAACTTTCGACGGCTCACAAGCAAGAGATTTGTTACCCAGGCAGGTGCCGAAAGACACTGGCCGCTGCCTCCTGGACCAATGGACAAAGCAATAAAAGGAAAGGGCCGAAACATTAGGGGCACACATGTGGCACATGATAATTCTAGTTCAGGGTTTTTCCCTGACCAAGCACCTTCTATTTTGCATCCTGACACCTTATACATCCTTTGCGATCACTAAAATAATTCTGTTGAGGTTTCTCTGATGTGCAATTAAATTTTAAGAGAGAAGTTGTTACTCATCTAAAAACAATTCATTTCACTTGGCAGTTCTGCTTTTAATATGCTGCTAAGCTCATGCTTTTGGCTCGGCTTTGTAGCCGTGATAGCAAGAAGGTTTTTTTTTTTAATGATTCTGAAATTGCTAAGATCTGTTCTGAGTATTGATTCTGCATCGACTGAGTGGAATAGCTGGCTCGCAAGCCATCGCATCTGTCTCCCGCGCTTTTGCTGATCCAGAAGGGGTCTTATGCAGCTTCCTTCTGGATTAAGCTTGCAAAGGACCACGCTACACCCTCTAACAGCTCACAGCGACTGTTTGTCTTTTTGGGTCCTGGTTTTATGGGGAAAACAGAGCAAAGGCTGGAGCAGGAGACAAAGAGTCTGTTGCAAAAAAAATGTGCAGCCTGATGCAAGATTATTCTGCTGGCGGATAGGGGACCTTCTGTGTCCTCACAGCTGTCCTCTTACAGGACCCATCTTTTGCCTTGACCCTTTTGGCTAGGTTGTGCAAATCTCCGACAACCTGTTGCCCTCCAGATCCTGGTTCGAGGACACACATCGACCCGTCATCACAAGAACTGCAGTCCAACACATCTGGAGGGCGCCAGCTTGGCAAAACTGTGGCGCAGCATCTTAGAAAGCATCAGAGGAAGCCCGTTGTGTGTGATGGACCGAGAGATACAGACAAAGATGCCTATGGGAGACACAGTTAGCTCACTCCCTTCCTCGGCTCTCACTGGTAGAGCGTGTCGTGTTTTTTTGTGGATGCGTGAGGAAGAGATAGCCTATGGGAGACACAGCTCACTCCCTTCCTCGGCACTCACTGGTAGAGCGTGTCTTGTTTTTTTGTGGATGCGTGAGGAAGAGATGCAGCTTATTTATTAACCTGTGTGCATTCTGTCTCCAGTGGTTTGCATCCAGGTGTTCTCCTGGTCCTTCACAGTAGGAAGCCACAGCAATGCAGTTAGACATACTGTGCAGAAAGTGACATGAACCTTAGACAAAATCAGTGAAGGAAATCTGTAGAGGAAGACATGATGTAGAAATGTGTGATGGTCTGCTGAGCATCTTGTTCTGTCTACTGCTTAGGTGTTGGAACCTGAAATCCTAAGGGTTTGTTGTGTGTTGCTTGTTTCTGTGCTGTCAAAAGTTGGGATGCAGACAGGAGCGTTTACAGTCAAAAGTTCCTTTTTTGTGTTGAGTTCCCACTGGCCAGAGTGGCCACAGGCCATGTTAAATGAGGCTTTCTAGGAAGTCTAAAAATGACTTGCTGGCCAGCTCTGCTTCCAGGTCTGTGACTACAGGTGATCATGCAAATCCAGTCCCATGCCACTGCCTGCTGGATAAGCCTATAATCTGGGTCACTCCCTTCGTGTGAGCATCCGTCTTTGAGGGAAGTCACGAGGCTCGCTAGCACGTCTGGAAGGGCTTGCGGTCCCTTCAAGGTCTCCCACTTCTGAAAATGTTGTCTGCGTGTTCTCTACCTCAAAAAACCCTCGAAAGGATCACCATAAGTCAGAATGGACTCAATGGCGTGCCGTTATTTATTGATGTGCCGAAATTCTGCTCCCCTTCAATGTGAATGGGCATGGCTCCTGCAGATACAGTGGTGCCTCGCTTAACGATTTTAATTGGTTCCAAAAAATTCATCGCTATGGGAAAACATCGCTAAGCTAAACACGTTTTCCCATAGAGATGCATTGAAAACTGGATAATCCGTTCCAATGGGAACAGATTGCCGTCCTTAAGCGAAAATCGCCATAGGAAACATTGCTAAGCGAAACGCGGTTCCCCCATTGGAATGCATTGAAACCTTTTCAATGCATTTCAGTGGGGGAGAAAAAAATCACCAAAAATTCAAAAAGAGTCAGAACGAAGCCAAATTTGGTTAACAAAGGGTTTATTAAGTGCACTAACAATTTCAAGCACTCTAAACCCTTTTAAAACAATTTAACACCTTTTAAAAATAGCGAAAACGGAGCTGTCAAAAACATCGCTAAGCGAAACAGGGGGACCTAAACTGTCATCGCTAAGCGAAGCAAGGTCCCGAACATCGCTATGCGAAATTCCCCCATTGGAAACATCGCTAAACGGAGCGCAAGATCACTCCTAAAACCTCATCGCTAAGCGAATACATTGTTAAACGAGGCAGTCGCTAAGCGAGGCACCACTGTATTGTCCACCAAGCTGAATAATCCTGGGGTCTTTTCAGAACAGACCTATGTTTCAAGTTTTCACACTGTAGTGAACAGCTTGCAAGTCTTTGAAATTAAAAAGACCCCAGTGGGTGCAGATCGTATTAGGCAGAGAAATATAAGTCTCAGTGCCTTTTAGTCCAGCATTTTGCTGTGAAATGAGGATTTCTGTAAAGCCTTCTGCTTCAAGCAGTGACTGATGGACTCCGAGGAGCAAGGTCTGTTGGGGTGCCCTACGATGTCCAGCGATTAAGGGTCGGAAGACATCTCTAGGTCTGCCATTTCCAAGAATTAGGAGGCAGAGAGAAAGCTAAGAAAATGGCAAGGGTGTGTGCCCACCAAGCCGTGTCATCATTTAGGTTGTTTTCAGGAGCACAGTAAATGTGGGCGCAGAATTTAGCTTAGGCGGTGAAGGGAGTTTGGACCTTTATAAGCACGTGGCACTCCTGTGGAGCCAAAGAGACATCTTACCCTTGAGTTCCCTTTCTGGATTGTAGCACCATGCTGGCTTATTGCCGTCTGGGAGTTGTAGTTTAAAAGACTTGGCCAGGCTTAAGAAGGGGTGCCCTCTATCCATCTCACGCCTTACATGTTCTCTCTTGCAGATGTCCCAGGCCTGCTTCCCTCCATGCTTGCTGTCCTCTAATCAACCAATTTTGTATTCCAAAGAGCATGAAAAAAATTTATTATTACTCTTTGCTTGTTTAGTTACCCCAATCTGGTCCAATCTGGTTTTATAATACTAACTTGATGTTCAGGTTGCAGTAAACAGAGATTGTAGAAGGGCAATTGAGATGCTTCGGGTCACTGCATTGGGAGAAAAGCAGGATGTTGATTAAATTCATCTTCTACCTTGTTAGGGGAAAGCGTAAGGGAATTATTTTTTAAGTTTGTAATTTTTCTTTTTAAAAATTATTGAATCTAAAATACACAGAAATGTAAAACTAACAAATACATACACAAAGATATGCTGGATTTATTTCATTTATGACGCCCCATTCCCTTTGCAAAACTGCATTGATTTTTGATGGCATATTGCCTTTCCTGTTCATTAGTACATAGTAAATAAAAACTCCCCAAATATCTCTAAGGATATTTTTTGTTGGACCCGTTTTTTAAACTTAACTTCACACATTACGGTCCCCCATTAATTCCCCTACCACTAAATTTTGGTGGGTTTTTAAAATATTTTAATGAAAATAACAAATAACAAAACTAGCATAAGGTACATGTTCATACACAATACAAATTAAACTTTCCCCACCTGTGCCACCTTCACCCTTGGGACTAGGTAACCAAAGGTATCATTTTAGAATGTTTCACCCCATACCTCTCTAAAAATACATTTGATTCTTCTGCTGGCCTATAACCTTTCCCTTTCAAAAAGACATACACCAAATATAAATTCCACTCATCTTTGAAATCGTTGTTGTTTAGTCATGTCCGACTCTTCGTGACCCCATGGATCAGAGCATGCCAGGCCCTCCTATCTTCCACTGCCTCCCGGAGTTGGGTCAAATTCATGTTGGTCACTTCGATGACCCTGTCCAACCATCTCATCCTCTGTCGTTCCCCTTCTCCTCTTGCCGTCACACTTTCCTAACATCAAGGTCTTTTCCAACGAGTCTTCTCTTCTCATGAGATGGCTAAAGTATTGGAGCCTCAGCTTCAGGATCTGTCCTTCCAGGGAGCACTCAGGGTGGATTTCCTTCAGAACGGATAGGTTTGTTCTTGCAGTCCAGGGGACTCTCAAGAGCATCCTTGAAATCATTAGACTTTGCTAAATTTCATTTAAATGAATGGTATAAAGAAGTATGGGACATTGCCACTGGTTTTTCATTAATGGCTGTTTTCCATACTTCCTTATAGTGATTATTTAATTGAAATTTGGCGGTCAGGGAATGAATGGGAGAAATTAAGAGGGAGGGTTCCATAGGATTCTCTTCATAGATCTAGTATTCTCTGTCGTTCTTACAAGCGAAGAGTTAAGAGCACTTTTTTGCCAGCCTGACCTCAAGTTTCCGCCTTGACGGCATTGTCTTGTAGCATGAATTGGAACGTAAAATATTTATTTTTTGATTTGATTTGATTTGTATCCCGCTCATCTGGTCTATGCGACCACTCTGAGCGGCTATGTTAACTCCGCCAGTGTGCGGCTTGCCTTTCGTGTGAGCGCCTTCGGATAGCCAATGGCAGATTAGGCTCTCCTCATCTACTGTGTTTCCCCGAAAATAAGACAGGGTCTTATATTAATTTTTGCTACTAAAAACACATCAGGGCTTATTTACAGGGTGTTTTTTTCAAGTACAACCATCTCCATTTATTGAAATACAGCCATGTCCTCTTCTTCTGGTTGCTACACAAGGGTGGAGGGTGGGGTTTCACTTCACTGGGCCTTATTTTTGGACTAGGGCTTATATGACGAGCATCCTGAAAAATCATACTAAGGCTTGTTTTCAGGTTAGGTCTTATTTTTGGCAGGGTAGTTTACAGTATGTGCGGTGTAATCCTCAAAACCTGGCTGTCTTTAGAATATGGGGCAGGCGAGTCGGTCTTGGTGGGGCTGTTCTTTCTGGCTTGACGAGAAGGCAGCTGGAACCGAAGGGAGTGGGCCCTGGTGCCATTAAGGGCATCCGAGTGCAAGACGGACAGGGCGCTCCCTCTGACGGGAGGAGAATCTGGGCATCTGCGTCCCATGTAAATGACCAGGCAGGGGAGCCCCCCCAGAACCAGATGTCCCCCAGATGTGTAGGACTATAACTCCCATCGCCCCCAGCCAGGATGACCTCCCGTGGGATAAGTTACAGTCCAAGGCAGCTTAAGGGGAACAAGGGTGGAGGAGGGCAGGCTTGTGAGTTTGGGGTTGAGGAGTGGAGAAATCCGGATTCAAATCACCCGTTGACGGTTGCGCTTGGTGACCCCGGGCTCGTTAGGAGTGCTTAGCCCAGCCCTACCCCACAGGGTTGTTGTGAGGGTGAGACAAGGGAAGGTCTGAGTACTGTAGACCACATGTGCTGGCCTTGTGCTCCTTAGGCAGGCTTTTAGCAACCCTTGACTGAGTGCCTTCTTTAAGATCATGTTTAATCTTTGCTTTCTTTTAATTATTCAATTGCATTTTAATTAGCATATGGTTTAATGGGTTCCTGATGTTTTAACTTACTATGTTTTTAACCTTATTCTGTTTTAATATTGTGACAGCCGCCTGGGCTCCCCCGTATCGGGAGAGATTTGGGTTCCTGATATTTTAACTTACGTACCATGTTTTTAACCCTATGCTGTTTTAATATTGTGAGAGCTGCCTGGGCTCCCCCGTATCGGGAGAGATTTTGGACTGCCTGAAAATATAGTTTTCCTAGAGCCGTCTTCTTTTTTTAAATGTTTCAGGGCCAGCGACGTGTGGACGGCAGCCATGCGCGTCGTCCGGAGATCGCCTCACTAAGGCTTCGACGACCTCGCCTTCTTAGCGTTGAGCCCCCGGAAACAAGGAGGACAGAGGCGGCTGTGCGCCATTCCTGTTCCCCCTTTTGGGGGGGGGCAGGGCGAAGCAAAGGCCGTCCTAGTGGACCATGGATCCTCTCGAGCCATGCGCGTCGTCCGGAGATCGCCACGCTAAGGCTTCGACGACCTCTCCTTCTTAGTGTTGAGCCCCAGGAAACAAGGAGGACAGAGGCGGCTGTGCACCATTCCTGTTCCCCCTTTTTTGGGGGGGCAGGGCGAAGCAAAGGCTGTCCTAGTGGACCATGGATCCTCTCAGCCGCCCCGGCGGGGATATCATGCGGCGGAATCCCCAGCAGGACTATGAGCTTGTGCAGCGCGTGGGGAGCGGCACCTATGGCGACGTCTACAAGGTGAGGACCGAAAACCCCCGACCCTCGCAGGTGCCCTTGGTGGGGACGGAGGAAAAGGCCTTTCTCTGTGACTGCTCCTGGACGGTGGAACTCCCTGCCACTGGAGGCCAGGCGGGCCCCGTCTTGGCTGTCCTTCCGCACGCAGGCAAAATCCCTTTCTCTTCAGGCAGGCTTTCCCTCAGGGACTGCCTGAGTGAGGGATTTTTTAAAATAGGTTCTCATGCCTTACTGCTTTTGAGTGTGTTTTGGTGTTGCGTATGTTTTTGGTATGATATTTGGTTGATCCTTTTTTTAGTATTTATCTACTCACTGTTGTTAGCTTTTGTCTTTTGATGATGCCTTGGGTCCTTTTAAGGAGAAAGGCGGGGTAAAAATGTTTTCAATCAATCAGTCAATCAATCAATTGGTGAGAGTACCTCTTCTCGATTTTGGTGTAATTCATGGAACTTCTAATGGAAAGTGGTGCAGGAGGTTCTAGTCCTGAGTCAAGAGAGAGTCCTTTCCCAAACCCCATCTCCAAATATCTCGTTGATAAAATACCAGGGGGTATTTTATTTGCCTCCAGGAAAAGAATAATCCGTAGACCTGATGATGACACTTAAGATGGTGTCTTAGGTGTTGTTGGGTTTTTTTTGGTTTTGTTGGTTTGTTTTGTATTAGGGACTTTGGCGAAAGTGGGGCCCAGACATGCCAATCTGTATCAAGTGAGTGTCGTGAGCTTAGTCAGTTGGAGGAAAGGGCAGAACTCTCCGTTTTAGAAACTCAATTTGAATGGGAGGGATTGAAGACAGGGAGGCCAGCCTCATCTGTGATCAGGAACGGCATTCTTGTGCCTGGAGACATTCACGTGCACGCACAGCCGTCATGAAATCAGGTCACCTTTCCACCATGGCGATGGAAAGGGTGGATCTCAACGGTGGCTTCTATTTTTACCCCTCAGTCCTTCCTAAATGGGCCCGGTTCAGACGTTTGACTTGATCGTGTCTGACTAGGGATCCTCGTGCGTTAAGCGTGATCCTTAGAGACGCCCTTGCCAGGAGGCAGGACGAAAAGGTGGAGGATTTTCTGAAGTGGCAGATCTGGGGAGATTTGTCTCCCCCCATTACAAGGAGCGAGCGAGGGGGAGAACGAAGGGCCTGCGGGGCACAATGTTCTCATGGGCTACAGCCATGAGAATGATCAGAAACCGCGCGCCCAGCCCCCTGGGTTCTTTTCAGTGGGCCTTGAATCAGGGGAGCTTCTTAAGAGATTTGGACGGTGTGAAAATTTGTGGGAGTAGGTGCTGTTTTGATTTTTCACCTGCACCCCTAAATACCATGGGCTGTTCTAGGCTGACTGAAGGTGGACTTGCAAAAGCACATACAACTCAGTGTGTTACTTGTTTACTGAGTGTCCACCTACCTGGAATACGTATGCCATGGCAGGTGGTTGCCTGGCCTCCTGGATATGCTTCTTTCGATGGCCATGGAAGCATCAGATTTAGTGGAGATGCTGCCTCTTTGTTGTCTCTTCCTGCTTCGGCGCGATTGCCTTCTAATATAGAGAAAAGACCAAATAATGCGCCTGAGAAAAATGAGCAAGTTTGTGAGGTCTGTGTTTGCATAAATACGTGGGTTGGCTGAACATCGGCTGAGGCTCACCAGGATCCCCTTGTGGGATCAGCAGGGCGGCTCAGCTTGGCTGCGCATTTTCTGTATGCGGAGTTGTCATCGTCTCGGAAAACCTAGCACAGGCAGTCATCCGTTGTCTCTGTAGAGAGCATGCATTAGCTCCCGGGGATGGCTGAGAACGGGAAGCAGGAGGCATGTTCCAGGTTCGGTTGTTCAAAAGAGTCACTCTACACATTTTTAATGCAATTGCTCTGTAAAGTCAATTCAGTAAAAGCAGTGAAACGATTCAGCGCTTGATGCTTTATTGATGTGCCTTGAACTCTTAAGCTCTTCAGTAAACAGTCCTTAAGGCTGTGTGCGTTGAATGCTTCGGTAGTTGCATGTTGCAAACAAGTTCTCTGGTACGCTATTCCATATTCTCAGAAATGCAACCTTTTCCTGCCCCCCCATAGGGGTATTAGCATTATTTTATGAGCCAGAGATCATCTATGGCAAGCCATGGCAAGTCCGTTTTAAACGAGCAGGGGTGTAGCTGGGGAACTCTCCCAAGCCAGAGGGAAGTTGGGCCAAACCTGGGCCATATCCTTGAATAATACCTCAATGGGTTCGGTTGCTCTGTTTGGGTGGCCCTTTCCCCATGCTATGTGAAGTGATGGGAGCGTGTGGGGTGGGCGGTCGGTGACGTTCTGGCTTGCCATGTCAGTACAGCCTGTGAGTCAAAGTATTTCATCTCTAGCACAGTTTCAGAGGCAAACACGGAGTAGTTAATTTGCACAGAGAACCCGATGTACCATATTTTTCTGTGTATAAGACTATACATTTGTCTAAAATTTTTAGACTGAAAATTGAGGGTCATCTTATACACGGAAGTAAACTGAGGAGAGAACAAAAACAAGTGGAGGGGAAAGAAGGGATCAAAGCGATCCTGCAGCGCTTTGATCCCTTTCCCCCTACATTTGCTAAACCCCACTTAGATTTCTTAATCTTGGATTAGAAAAATGCACTTAGATTTCTTAATCTTGGATTAGAAAAGTGGGGGCGTCTTATACACGGAAAAATACAGTATGTTAACATGTTTCTCTGGTTCTCTGTGTATTTTATGCACAGAAAAGAAATGAGCTTTCCTGGACATGGCCATTGAGATTCTTTGCAGTGAACAGTTTTGTGTGCAATTCATTGAGATGGGTTTTCCCATTTGTTCCACTTTTCTTTTTAAAATTTATTTTATTAAACAAACGTCCAACCTAAAGAACATAAACTTAACACCACAATAAAATACAATTACATAATACACCAGTGCCACCTTCACCCTCAGGGCTAGCCTTAATAATATTTTTTAAATTCATTCAATCCCTTTTCTCTCCAAAAATTCATTGTTCCTTCCCTCGGCGTATACCTCTTCCCTCTCCGAAATATATATTCCAGGAATACACTCCATATTTTCTTAAAGTCATTATTTTTTGATAGGCCTCTTCTTGTTTTCATATCGCATGTCAATTTATAACATATCCCATAATTCTCTATACCATCCCTCTAAATTAATTTGGTTTCTTGCAAATATTAACCTTGCTGCCGTAACCATTATTACAATTAAATCCTTATTTTCTTTCAACAATTGATCTTTCTTAACCATGTTCAATAAAGCCATTGACAGGGACATTTGAATATTTAATTCAGCTATTTCCCTAATTTTTTTAAATTGCTCCCATTCTTTCTTTCTTCACATAACCACCACATCAATAAATACATCCCCTTCTCTTTTTTATGCCTCCAACATAGTGATGATAATTTTTTGTTTATTGTGCTGTTTTACCGGCGTTAAATGCCACCTCCGTAGTTTTTTGTTAAGTCGTGTCCGACTCTTCGCGACCCCATGGACCAGAGCACGCCAGGCCCTCCTGTCTTCCACTGCCTCCTGGAGTTGGGTCAAATTCGAGGTTAGACCACTGTAATGCTGTCTACGTAGGGCTACCTTTGAGATCAATGTGGAAACTCCAAATGATGCAGAATGCGGCGGCCAGACTTATTAGTGGGGTGAGGAAACATCATCATATCTCCCCCACTCTGGCCGCCTTACATTGGCTGCCCGTTCGGTTCCGTGTTGATTTCAAAGTTCTAATGCTTGCGTATAAAAGCCCTAAACGGTTTAGGGCCTCGATACCTGGCGGAACGCCTCCTCCCACCCAAATCTATTCGTATCACTCGGTCTAGCCAGGAGGTGAGGCTGAGGAGCCTAACGCCGAGGGAGGCCTGGAAGGAAAAAACAAGGGACCGGGCCTTTTCGGCGGTGGCTCCTCGCCTTTGGAATGGCCTCCCTTCTGAGATCTGTATGGCCCCTTCGCTGGGCATTTTCAAATGCCAACTGAAAACCTGTCTATTCAGGCAAGCCTTCCCTCCTGCCACCTCTTGATTCATTTTGTTTTCTCACCTTGAGTCTTTGTCGTTTGATATATTATTTGTTCCATATTTTAAATGGTTTATTTTATATGCTGTTAGCTGCCCAGAGTAGCCAGTTGACTAAATGGACGGGGCACTAAATAAATAAATAAATAAATAAATAAATAAATATTAATTAATTAATTAATTAATTAATTAATTAATTAATTAATTAATTAATTAATTAATTAATTAATTAATTAATTAATTAATTAATTAATTAATTAATTAATTAATTAATTAATTAATTAATTAATTAATTAATTAATTAATTAATTAATTAATTAATTAATTAATTAATTAATTAATTAATTAATTAATTAATTAATTAATTAATTAATTAATTAATTAATTAATTAATTAATTAATTCACGTTGGTCGCTTCGGTGACCCTGTCCATCCATCTCATCCTCTGTCGTCCCCTTCTCCTCTTGCCTTCACACTTTCCCAACATCAGGGTCTTTTCCAGGGAGTCTTCTCTTCTCATGAGATGGCCAAAGGATTGGAGCCTCAGCTTCAGGATCTGTCCTTCCAGTGAGCACTCGGGGTTGACTTCCTTCAGAATGGAACCTCCATATTACCTTATAGCAATTTTCTTTTATCCTTACAGACATATTCTTCATAATTCTTTTATCCCACTCTTCTCCTGCTGCTTCTTTATCCAAATCATGTTAATCCTTGTGTGTCCTGTTCGGCCTCAATTAATAATTCGTATACACTATTTGACTTACAGTTCCCTTTCTGTCTTTTCCTTTGATTTCAGTCTTTTTTCAATAATCCCTCTTTTCTTTCTCTTGCTACTCTTTTCATTAAGCCTAGGTCATGATGAATGTGATTTGATGCAAATGCAGAAGCATGGAGGGTAATATATCATCAGGCAGTTTTCAACGTTTCTTGGCATGATGGTTGTTCATGCTTGTAGTTCATGCCAGACAAACATTCTTGAGCAGCATG